CGATTAATAAGCGTTATAACAATCAAAGTTATAGTCTCCGAAGTTTATAGCACACCAACTATAGCAAACCAATAATATGTACTGTTTTTTTTTTTACCCCTAGTTCTCCCCCTGTTGATGGATCTTCACCAAGTTTGGTATGAAGGTTTGTTGGGTGCATAAATAAAAATGAAAAGGCCAATTCTACGCCTTACTTTGAATGAAAGTGAGACGAGATTTAGTTAGGTTCTTCTAGAAGGTGGATAATACTACCTGAAAACAGGGCCAATTCTTTAAGTTCAAAATATTTTATAAAGAAAACGGTCTTTAGTTTTATTGGAAATTTCAGTCACATTACACTTAATATTTTAGTCTATTTTTTATTGTTTGTTTTTACGCAAAGCTGCATAGTCTGCTATCTGCACTGTGTCAGCCTAGCACAATCGAAAGTAGATTTTAGCGTTATAACTCTCAAACTTACCATTGAGCCACTGAAAGACAGTATCGAATATTTAAAACGAATGTAGCGGTTCAGTTGTAATATCAAACTGACTGCTTTTGTTAAACAGCAGTAAAAAGGTAAGGACGACATCTTAAATATTTGTTTGTTTTGTTCAATTTCGCGCAAAGCTACTCGGGGGCTATCTGGGCTATCCGTCCCTAACTTAGAAGTGATTGACTAGGGGGGAAGACATCTAGTGAACACCACCCACAGCTAATTCTAGGGCTGTTCTTTTAACAACAAATTGACCATCGTATTCTAACGCCTTATTATAAACCATTCCTAACTTATATAGAGAGATTTTTTTAAGTTATGGAAATAAATTTCGTATGTTGAAAGGACGAGCATGTTTTGTGACTGGACTCAAACTCCTACCCGCAGAGTGAGAGTTGGTAGCCCTAACCACTAAGCCTTGCCAGCTTCTCAAAAGGAATATATACTTAGAGTGCGAGTTGGTAGCCCTAACCACTAAGCCTTGCCAGCTTCTCAAAAGGAATATATACTTAGAAAACTGTTGTCCTGTTCTTAATCGTAAAGAAATATTTAATTGTGATGTTAAAGATTCACATACCAAATTTCTAATTATCCATGAATCTGTTGTGGATGTTTTCTTTAAACTCTCAAAACTTAAATAAAAATATTATAATTTGTTGTTTTCAGAATTGGGCTAACAACTTGGTTATATTTCTCTCGCGATGTAGGAAATGTGTTTTTCATGACTCTTCTATCACTTCTAATTTCTCGTTCAACATATGAAAGTTTCTTTTTTCTTTCTGTAATCGTCAAATATACCAATTTGTGTATATGAAAAATGTGTTAAATATATTTCCATGAATATTGTTTTAAAAAGTATTGAACGTTCAATATAATAGATTCGTATTATTACAGAAGAATGAAGATTTTAGTTGAACTGAGCAATAATTTTTTTGTCGCAAAATGGTGAAACTAATATACAAACATTCATTTATTCTTCGAACATGGTGGCGTTTCTTGCTTGCTCATACATTTTTTTTTAACTTAATCATTATCTTATACAAACGTGTCTCCTTTTCTAACCAAAACCCATTACCTTCTTAGAGGGCGTTTTAATACAATGAGCATCATTAAAAAGACGTTTGCTCCAACGCCTAGCATAGCGATGATGAAGAGAGCTGTTGCCTCTGTTGTCTGAGCTGGATGACAAGAGCCTATATGGTTGGTAGAGGTAACATTACTAGGATTACTAGGGCCAAACCGGACCACGTTCATCCTGTAGAAAGAAACACGTATTATATAAAAACAGCATGCAATAATTGAACTAAGTAAAATATTTAAAACAGTCCTCAGCATAGCTTCATCTCAATACATATAGTTCACATCGTACAACGTGTGGTGTACTTGTAAACTTCAAAAAGTGTCACACTACATCCATAGAGAAGTTTAAGTATGGTATCCACTTTCCAATATGTTTAAATCTATATATAGTTCACATCGTACGACGTGTGGTGTACTTGTAAACTTCAAAAAGTGTCACACTACATCCATACAGAAGTTTAAGTATGGTATCCACTTTCCAATATGTTTAAATCTATTGTCGTGAGACATACATAAATATATATCCACTCTTTAGGACATGCTGTACTCATAGATGAGTTACATTCCGACAGAAATGGATCCGCTTTAGTAGAATATGTTGTAGTGATAATGTAACTACACTTCAAAAAGTGAACACACTCCCATGGAACCTGTTGTACTCACAGATGAGTTACATTCCGACAGAAATGGATCCGCTTTAGTAGAATATGTTGTAGTGATAATGTAACTACACTTCAAAAAAGTGAACACACTCCCATGGAACCTGTTGTACTCACAGATGAGCTACATTCCGACAGAAATGGATCCACTCTGATAGAATTTGCTGTAATGATAAATTAGCTACACTATAAGGAATCTATAGTGAATCAAGGTGAATAAATGTCAAGTTTAATTATTAGCTCTGGATGAAAAGTAAAAACATCTCTGTATTAAAGGTGAGTGGTCTATTTATTAATCATATATACTGTTTTACTTCTATTTAGGATTTTTAGAACAAAGATGTTTAAGTGCCAGTTTTTTTTTTCTACATACAAAATTGTAAGATGTTTCACTTCTATTTACGTTTTCTCTAATACAGTTAGTAACTCGTTTTTTAATGATCAACTTAGTTACTAATTGCTTCTTTTTCTTATGTTATAATTAATTAAATTTCAACTTTCTCGTACAGTTCAGTCTCTGTATCACTCCTGTTTGTTATTTTTTATTCAATAAGCTAAGTCATTCCTATTTTGAGTGTTGATATTATAACTTGTAGAGTTATTCATATATTTCAGTCTCTGTATCACTCCTGTTTGTTATTTTTTATTCAATAAGCTAAGTCATTCCTATTTTGAGTGTTGATATTATAACTTGTAGAGTTATTCATATATTTCAGTCTCTGTATCACTCCTGTTTGTTATACAATAAGCTAAGTCATTCCTATTTTGAGTCTTGATATTATAACTTGTAGAGTTATTCATACAGTTCAGTCTCTGTATCACTCCTGTTTGTTATTCAATAAGCTAAGTCATTCCTATTTTGAGTCTTGATATTATAACTTGTAGAGTTATTCATACAGTTCAGTCTCTGTATCACTCCTGTTTGTTATTCAATAAGCTAAGTCATTCCTATTTTGAGTCTTGATATTATAACTGGTAGAGTTATTCATTCCGTTTTTTGTCGTTATATCATACAGTTGTAACGGTTTCTATTTTAGTGAATTCTTTCGGATTACTCGGTAAAAAGAATACAAAGTTCAATCCACTTAATGATAACAAAAGCATTTTATTTCTTAGATTACAAGTTTTTCATGTTAGTTTAGTTCATGTTCATGGATAGGTCTAAGTTTACAGTTGTCTTTAATACAACAATTTTATTTACCTGCCAATTCTCTCTTTTAACGTAAGAGCACTTTTTGTACCTCTAGTATTTCGTCGTCAACATAAACTCAAAAATTACAAAGCTGAAATATATGTGTCTTAAAGTAACTTCCTTACTTTTTCACTAGATAACAGATTCACTCCCTGAAAAATACATTGACTTCACTGACTAACTGACCTATTCTAGCCTAACTCGCTTTTGATATGTTTCAAGTAGTTCCTAAACTTTCAAGAAGGTTCTGGGCATTAAGCCACGCCCATAATGCTAGGACCAACGTTCTTTTTGTCAAAATACGATACACACACAGCTTGACAAACGTCTAGATAGAACAATATCCCACAACACTGTCCTCTCCCTAAATTGTGAAATACGTTGAACGATCCTACTAAACAAAGAAACAATGGTACGTTAGAATTATACTTCCATAGTTAACAATAAGGTAACTCTTAACAATTAACACGAAGAATCATAGTTATTATAATCATTCTGTTAATTCAATGTGTGAAACATAGTACAATCAAAATTGTGATTAACAAAACAAAATCTCCCTTCTTTACACATTTATTATCCCTAATTGGTCCAGTCACCAAATATTTTCAGTGATTTTCTTTTCTGTGTCATATGGTATGAAGATGGAATGCTCTCTTTTCTCTATCATCAGTACCATTTTGCCACTGGTTAACTACTTTTCACGTAGATAGTCAAAGGAATCCACTTGTGCTCCATACTTTTGGAAGTGATCCCAACAGGAATCTCGGGTTCCCCAACAGGTTTATTACTTTTGACAAAGTCTTTTCTGAAGCTAACCAGTGAGCCATTTTCCTGCCAACATACATCTAAAGATAATTATGGTTTACAACCTTTGGTTTGGACTACCTGTCTTTCTGGATTATGTTAGTTGTATTAATTCTCTTGTGTTTCCATTCTTGGTGTCACTGGAAGTTCAACTTCTTGTGGCATCATTATCGTTTAGTACCCAGGGGTTTATTGTTCAAAGCAAAAAATTAGTTGAAGTAAGTTCAACATAACCTCTGTGCTTCCACATGAAGTATTTTCCAAATATACACTCTTCCTCAATGTCAATTACGCACACACACATAATGTTGTGTACAGAAGCGTCCTACAGTGAAGGCGGTTTTAAATATTCCTCATCAGTTGTTGTTCTTTTCCATCCACCTTATCCTTTCATCTCTGTAGGCACCTGACCAAATTTTACTACCAGATCAAGCAATGGTAGTTATAGAACCAGTGGCAATCATCATGTTGCAAAGCTTCCCATCAATGAACCCATTGACTCATATATGGTTTCTCTAAGTAATATACTCTTTATCTAATCTGTAGCATATGGGCTATTCTCATCTTCAGGATATTGTCCTCCTTGGTTTATTGTTTATGGTTGATTCCTCACAATCTTGGATATAATGTTCATCTTTTCCACACTTAAACAGTTTTTTTTCTGTCATACGTTTGGAAACAGTTTCTTTTTTATGAAGGCTTTTGTGTTCAGTTCCTGACAATACATCCATTTAAGTTGCAATTGAAACATCTTCTGGCCTGTGGCTAACTTCCTCCATTCTAAGTGGACAGTTGTCTAATTAAAGGTTTTTTGTCTACAATCTCTGGCAGGATGCCCATTTAATTTTCAACGGAAACACTTTCTACCCTGTGGTTTACTTTCCCATTCTAAGTTAACTGTCGCTTAAGTAATTTCTTGAGTTCTTCTATATCTCTATCAGAGAGAATTGATGTATCTAGCTTACTTGATCTGATAATCTCATAATTTATGGTTGGTGCCTCTCATTGTTTATCTGTAAATGTAGTTGAATAAAACTCAATTGTCAACTGAGCAGCTTCCTGTATACTTACTTTGATTTATTCTAATTCGCGTATTCTCATCCGTTATAGCATATAAGATAAATGGACAGCTCTTACACATCTCCCATAAATTCAGCTCAGATCGGGGATGTTCTCCTTAGCCTGTTCCTAAACTTTGTTTTAGGAACTACTTTCTGATGTGACACTCCAAAACTGTTTGATAATGTGACCAAACAACCTAATAGCTATTAAGACTGTGACTTGGAAGGTTGCTTAATGTTGTTAAAACTGGTTTTTTATGTACAGAAAAACGAATATTTTGCCTTTCACAACTCCATCCATTCGCTTTGAATTTTATTTCAAGCTGTGCTTGATATTCCTCCCATGGGACCTTTCTATCATAATCTGTTGGTTTCTCTATTGGTTGATGCGGTTACATTGGTTTGTTAAATTGCATAATCTGATGAAATAGTGGTGTAGCTGAAGTAGTCCAAGAAGAACCTGTTTTCATGGGTGGCGCAACAGTAGTGATAGCAGGTGTAGAGGAAGTGTATTTTCCTATTCAATATTGCATAGGTAATAATATTTGAGGTTGGAATTCTTGAGCAGATGCAGAGAGAAGTGTGGGTAGTTTTATCCTTGTATTTACCAATTCAGCATATATATATTTTATCCTAGAGTTGAGGACCGTTCATACATATCTTATGACTTATTTTATGTTTGTGGTATAATCTTTCTGTATTTCAATGGTGTCCTTTTCTTACTTTCTTTTTTACTTCATTTATGTTATTTTGTACTTCCCTTTTTACTTTGTTGATGTCCTTTTATAGTTCTTAGATTTTGTTGTTATAATCCTTCTGGACATTTTTGGTGGCTTCTTTGTTTTATCTTCATTGAAATAGTTTTGTTTTTCTTCAGTTTTGTCCATGTAATTCTCTTCTCGACTTCCCATCTCTTTCTACTAATTTTTCTTTTAATTTGCTGTCTATTTTTTCAAGTTCTTCGTTTAATTTCCTGTACTTTTTCCTTTTTCTCTTCTAGTCTTTTCTCTATTTCAGCTTTTCTAGCACATTTTCGATACCGCTTCGAACACGCCATGTTTCTGAAGTTCTGTCTGGATTCTATTTAATTTTTACCAAAATAACCTCACTCTTAATAACAGTGTTGTAATGGTTTCCTTTATTGGGTACCTTTTTCGATTATTCAGTAGAAAGAATAATGCAAAGTCCAGTCCGCTTAATACTATTGTAAGCATTTAATTTTTTCGACTATATTCTTAACCTAATGTTCACCGACAAGACTAAGTTCACGTTAATTGCTAAAACAACAATTTCATTTACATGCTAATTGTTTCTCTCAAATAAGACACTTTAACATACCTCTAGTACTTCACAACAAACACAAATTCAAAATGTACAAAACTGAAATAACTGTCAAACAGTAACTTTTAGATTTATATATTGTTTAAGAAACTCACTCTCTAATGTTTAAATAATTCACTGGCTTCACTGACTATATTTACTGATTAACTTCCTGATTCAATAATCAACCTACTCTAGCCTAACATACTTTTTATATGACTCAAATGATTCCCCAAACTTTCAAGAAGGTTATAGTAATTAACCACGCCATTCCTGCTATTCAAACCTCCCTCTGCTCAAACAACAACACAAGCCTCTAGTAAATTTGTTTAAAAAACAGGCTGAAACATTAGAAATGTAAAGAGACGTCTTACTGCATTTTTATTGTTTATTGAAAATTCAGATTCAGTAACTAATAATTTGCTGTCTTATGTGTCCAATCAAATCAAATAATTGTTTTTATAGTGATTTACATTTCAAATTACCAACAACTAAGCAGATCCTCATTTTAAATAGGTTTATAAAAAGTTTTGTAAAAAAAACTTTTAAAAAGTGATAATTCTTGTTAATTGTCATGCTATATTTTCTTATAATAATAAGATTAAGAAATACCTAAGGCAATAAGAAAGCGTGAAGTCCTTTAAATGAACTCAATTATATTAATGATAGAGCAATTTTCAAGGAAGAAACTATAGCACTAAAGTTAAGGCCATATTACACGACTATTATAAAGTTTTTAAGTAAGATTTTGATCTAACAACGGGAATAAAATTACATAAAACTTGTTATAATAAAAGAAACTCAATAATTACTGATTATGCTTTTAATAATATAAGCCCAGTAGGTTGTTACAATACTTCATATATTTTACGGAAAGGGTGTTAAATAACATTGATTGTATAACTAACAGAGGGACTTTTCATCAATGTCTGGTTGTGCTTTTTATAGAATTTCTTGAAACTTTATGTAAATAAATTAACTTTAAAATACAGCTTTGAATTTGTGGATCGAATTAACAGATGAATTTTCATAAAGCTAAGTATTTAGCTAGTTTTCTACAAATATAAAGAATCTTTAAATAAGAAATTAAGTAGGAATGAAAGCACCAAAAAGTAAGGAAACAAGGTAGGAATAGGCAGGATAATATTACAACACATGGCAATTTTTGACACGATGCAACCTCAAAGTAGGTGTCGCCATCGTTCCGTCCATTCCGATTTCATGTGCTTTTTGTAACTTGGTAACTGTTCAAACTAAATGAAAGGTGTATATTGCTAAATTTCTCTGTTGTAAACTTTGTTTCAGGAACCAAGTACAGATACATATCTGTAATCAAAGTACGTGACCCTAACGAAATGCATAACATCAGTCAGACAGGAAGTTCCAATAGTCATACTTTGCTTATGGGATACATTATAGCTATCTGACTGTTAATGGCATCAAAACATCTTATTTTTTATTTTATTTTTTCATTTTTTGAGCATTTAGAAAGGATCAGTTATTGACAAAACTCAATTCAAGTCTATAATTGGATTAAAATTTAAAGTCAAACACAAAGTAGGAATGAGCAGAATGATGGCAATCTTTGAGGTTGTACTGTGTCAAAATCATCAAGTGTTATTATGTTATCCTTCCCATTTTTATCTTGTTTCCTTATGTTTTGATGCTCCCATTCCTACTTCATAATTTTTTTTATTTAAAATTATTTTTACACTTTCGGTATTTAGCCTCAAGAGAGACTGGGCTCTAGGCCTATTCTTCGCTTAGCTTTTCTTAGATCCACCTCTTGATATTTCCTGGCTTTTGCTGATATTATTACTACAGTTTTCTTCCATCTAGCCAGGGTGACAGCCTTTTCTTTGGCTGGATTAATGGCTAAAGCTTGTTTCGAATAATGAGCATTAGTGTTTCTAACCTGATTTCTATTCTCGCGGCAATGCTATCTTCACTGGGACAAAGACTTTTCAGGGTTATCTCGTTTTCTTTTTTCTCGTTTTGTTTCCTTAAAAGGTATATTTTAAAAATCGCACTGTTTCAAGTACAACCTTAGATGTCAATAGGCCACACTTAGTTTGAAAATAATGCAAAGGTAAATTATACAACTTAGAATTCTTATTTTAAATCCAAAGAACTCGAGCAAAGCCGTGTCAGACTTCGGCAGTGGTAGTGTTCGCCCTCACGTAGAAGACTCACGTCTTAGGTACTGACTGCTATGATAGAATTGCTTTGTCCAACACAGAACCCTTGAGTCAGATGTATAGAACTGTAAACTTCGCTATCAAAGGTTAGATCATAGTTAGAACCTAGATCTAGAGAATCTACATAGCCCACGTTTTTGTTATCTAGCTGATACAGCTGCAGGCTGATCACATAGCGCGTGCGCATAATCAATCGTGTACCCGCACGTGATATGAGGGTGGGTTGCTACTTGGCAACTCATAGAGCGTGCTCGTAATCATAGAATATGGCTACTAGTGCATTGTTAGTTCGATAATAGTGTTGCAAAACGTTTATTGTTATTACTTGTTATTACCAAGGCTATAAGTAAAATACTTTTATCCAAGGTAACGTGATTCATTCATGTGCATTTAGATTTGCATTAGGTGAAGGCAGAAGAGAGCTATGCCTTTCCAACAACGTTAGTTAGTCACTCAGATAGTCAGATTGACAAGTTTGTGGTTGTGTGAAGTTTTTGTTTTTACTCTACCGACTTTTTCAAGTGCTTTGGTGGTTTGTTACTCTGCAGTTGGTTTGCTTACTTCTCGACAGTGTGTGTAAAGTGCTTATACATTCTGTTTGTAGTGTGTTTGAGATTTTATTTTGCATTTCACATAGTGCACATCTGGCCCATTCCTACTATAAGTACTACCGCACTTACAATATTATTGGAACGCCCATTAGATTTAGTGTTGACCTAGCTTATTAATATCATTAGGTATTAGGAAGTATCAGCCTGTTGATTAGCGAACCAAAATGTATTTTCAATGGCTAAGCCTCAGTTAAGCCATTACTTATGGATGTGTGAGTTTCTTTATCCTGACTTATATTTCAAATGATAAACTATACTTCACTACTCTTTCAAGATTTTATATGAGAATAAAAGAACAGTTTCTTTACTGTCTTTAATCGTTATGTTAGAACTTGTGAGCTAAGTTACTTCTGTTTTGAAGTCTTTATAAATCGAATCGATGTATTTTATAACTTTTATTATTATTATTTTTTACATTAAGACATTTTTTACATTTGTTTTTCTGTAACACTTTCTCTTAATATACGTTACAGAATGTAAATACGTGGGATATTCAGTGTGGAAAAACGATATACAACGAAGCGTAGGAAGGCGAACAGACCTAGAGAATTGAGCTACTCTACATAACGATTAGGCACGAAGGAATCGTCATTCAATTAGACTTATATTTGGCTTCATTTAATAGTCCTTGTTTGAAGTACGGAGCTTGAAAACAAGTTTGTAAAGCATCTGTTTACGCTTTATTTCGAAGCAATGGTCGGTTCCTTTGTTCATTGATCGATATAACAATTTTGAACATAAGGATGGAATAAACCTGATTTCTGCTCCTTTATGAAACCTAAGTTTGCGTTTTAATAATAATAATAATATTTTAATATTAATAATAACAATAATATTTCTATTACATTTCTTATTACGTATGCAAATTTTTCACTTGAAGAAACTATCTTGATGGACAAAGTCGTAAGGAATTAGAAAGACCGAGCCACCGATGTGTTGGGCTTAAACTATTCTAATTATTCGTGTTAAAATAATTTACGGACTAATATTGTGACATGATATTAATTATGAAACGCAATTTCCAGCAGACACACCCAACAACGCGTAATTCACAGCTTTCCTTGGTTTTCGCGAATATCGAACAATTAAGGTGCTATAGCAAAGAATCGCCTCGACAGGAAATTAGCCTTTAAGTCGAACTTAGCAAAAATGCTTTGACTAGCAAACATTTCCTTGAACAGTTTTGGAAATACTAACTCGTATATCTTACATCTTGACATTAATTAAAGCACCGTAAACCGAGATCGGACACGAACAGGTTATATTATTAAACAGAATATTCTGAAACTGATTAGGTAAAAAATATTATAGTGGACCTTATGTTGTCAACATAGTGAAAACACTTATAGTATTTTATATTTAAAAATATGTTTTAGACAACTGTTCTACAAATATTATTTTCAGAGAAAACATAAAATTAATACTGCTTGTGTTTGAAATCTAGTTCAAAATAACATCTTAAACGATTAAATCATTTATAAAAATGCCGTTAACTAGGAAGTCGCTCCGACACTATTGAATCTTGAAGCTTTTGGTTGCTAAGTTATACTTTCAAAGCTTAAATTCTCTACGAACATGATGTTTAGTCGCAGTTAGACTAAGACTGAGAAAAAACTCTACATCTCTCCCTCTCTCTCACACACACATACATAAATATATATATATGAATATATACATCTAAAAAAAATGGCAGTGAGCTTTAGCTCATATTAATGGATTAACTCTGAATCTTAAAGTTTATTTCTTAACTTTGATCATATATCCTGCACTAACATTATTATTAACGATAAAATGAGACAAGTGTTGTGTGTTCGAATGCAAATCGAACTACAATATTGTACCGCAGATTACGTATTAACATTGTTGTTAACAATAAAGTAAGATTAATTTTCATTTTAACTAACAAATGTTTACGGATTATAGAAATATTTCCGAACCTGAAACGTTTCACCTCCTCTGGAAAGCTTTTTGCTATATACGAATAAGCACTTTCTCGGGCTTCTTATTTGAAAACACGGTCTCCCGACAGAAGCTTCAAGTCTATTTCAGCGTCGGTTGATTTCATGCACGTGCTGCCTCCTTCAAACTGCATTGCACAATTTTATCACACGACTGTTCATCAAGAAATCGGGTGGTGGCGGATACTCGCACGCAAGACATTCTTTAGTGGCGCGTGCTCAGTTCATGCTTTTTCATAAGGAAAAGAAGGTGGTAAATAGTGGGATGATCACCAGTTGCTGCAGCCAGTCAAACACCCTTGTGGTTTCTGATTGATAGTTATCGGCTAAGATGAAAGATCTAATACGAAAAAACAAAAACAAAAAAAAACTTGTCAATACGTGGATCCAGGAAGAAAAAGTATCTGCCCATCTGGGAGGACGAACGAGCTATTAGAAGAATATACCAAGATAAAAGATCCCAGCCCGAAATTGAATTAGTTTTTAGAAAAGATTCTTTCATTAATCGTGTACTGAGGGGAAAAATAAATTATACGTAGCGCACCCTGTTGTCATCCCAACTGAAACAATATAGTAGTTCGTGCGGGGAAGGAATCTGGTTTTATTATTGTGTGGAATCACATCAAGCATTTATATAAATTACTTTATATGTTATGTGCTGCAGGTTTTATTGGAGAGGCATCAGCACAATTCAACAGTATAACAAAAAAGAGCTTATAAAATGTCCAGAAGAAATATTATAATTCAATTGATTGTACGTTTACAAAATCGTAAATTATTTAATCACTTTATGTATGCATAATTAAAACTATGTTTCTTTGTAAATCAGTTATTGCGTTGTAAGAAGTGCAAGATGAATGATTATACTGTTCCCCAGTGGAACAGCGGTAAGTTTACGATCTTACAATGCTAAAATCAGGGGTTTGATTCCTCGCGATAGGCAGAGCACAGATAGCCAATTGTGTAACTTTGCGCTAAAACAACAAAACAATGGTTGCAAATCAAAAATTTTTAATGTACTTCATATATTAAGCATGTTGTATTTTTTTTTTTAATTTCAACAATGGCGTTTTGGCAGCTAACCTTAATCTCACATGTAGGAATATTGTACATGTATTACTTTGTATATATATATATAAAAAATTAGATCTAAATAATTAAAGTTTCAGCAAATCATTGCCTCACATTTAGTATGATTGTATATATATATATATAGTTTTATACATCCATGCCAACGACCACGGTTTCAACTATATCTTATGTTACACATAATGAAACTGTACATAATTAGGTTGTATACCTTGACATACACACATACATTTTCACTTGAACTTGTGAGTAGAGGGAGTTGACTGTGTTTTTCTTATACTTTTATAAAACATTACATTGAAAATAAAATGCGATATGATTGGTTTGTTTGTTTGTAATTAAGCACAAAGCTACACAATAGACAATCTGTGCTCTGCCCACCACAGGTATAGAAACAGGGTTTTTAGCGTTGTAAGTCCGCAGACATGCCACTGGGGGCGCGATATGATTGGCTTGTTTGTTTGTAATTAAGCACAAAGCTACACAATAGACAATCTGTGCTCTGCCCACCACAGGTATAGAAA